TCGGTCTCTTTCCCACTGTAGTATTCCAATGGATCTGTTCAGGTCTACAGGGAAAGTTCGCTCCGACACAACAAACCTGTCAGTAAAGAACAATGAAATGTGTCATTTTGGTCGCCAGGTGGGTAGATATATATGTTCCCAACAAATACAATCAATTGAGCAAACTACAGTTAGAACTGAAGACTGAGGGAAATTATCTATAAGTTGTGCCTGTCTTATTATCCAGCCTGTCGTATTTTCACAGTGAACTGGTTACTAGATTCACGGCTGTGTAGGAAACTCGGAGGAGACTGCTGACTAAGCCCTGGAAGGCGGGGATGGGTGTTAGGTGATTTACACCCCATTTCACGGAGACTTTGTATTCAAAACCATACCTGCACTTGAAATACGCCAGTTCTTAAGTAGAAATTTTGTAGATATCAGAAGCACGTTTTTAAAAAGTTAATTCCTTGCTAATGAACTTGCCAAAAAACACATACACAAAAAGCAAAGTTTTCTTGTGTTCGAAATATTAAACCCCCTTTCAACGAGACGTCTCNCCAGTCGTTTACTGAGGTCCCACACGGGACTGAGGGTTCTGTCCCTGGGAGACAGTCAGGACAGTCAAAACATTTCGGTCTCTTTCCCACTGTAGTATTCCAATGGATCTGTTCAGGTCTGCAGGGAAAGTTTGCTCCAACACGACAAACCTGTCAGTAAAGAAAATGTGTCATTTTGGTCGCCAGGTGAGTAGATATGTATGATTCCAACAAACACAATCAGTTGAGCAAACTACAGTTAGAACTGAAGACTGAGGGAAATTATCTTTAAGTTGTGCCTGTCTTATTATCCAGCCTGTCGTATTTTCACAGTGAACTGGTTACTAGATTCACGGCTGCGTAGGAAACTCGAAGGAGACTGCTGACTAAGCCCTGGAAGGCAGGGATGGGTGTTAGGTGCTTTACACCCCATTTCACGGAGACTTTGTATTCAAAACTATACCTGCACTTGAAATACGCCAGTTTTTAAATAGAAATTTTGTAGATATCAGAAGCACGTTTTTAAAAAGTTAATTCCTTGCTAATGAACTTGCCAAAAACACATGCACAAAAAGCAAAGTTTTCTTGTGTTCGAAATATTAAACCCCCTTTCAACGAGACGTCTCGAATATGAGTTAGAAGTCCTGAAATCTCGACACCGTTGAGTGGCACATGTATCAGCATAGTTATCTTGAGAGTTTGGTGACTGAATAGCTACAATGTGAAGTTCTCTGTATGTTGGTACCTTCATTTCCATAACCGAATGGACTCTACAATAGGTCTCTCAAACTCGAACTTATCGATCGAATGAGAACAACATCTCTGTCATCACCAGTGGGCATAGAAAAGAACTATGCGAGAGGGCGAATGAAATCCATTGAGTAATCTTGCGCAATACAGACTGCTGAATCTGTTGAAAGGGAGGGAGCATATGAGGGGTCATTGGTCACAAAGCGTTGACAGTACTTTTGTAACTAAAGATCATTTTGGGAGACAATCAATCGCTTTCGATTTTACTGGGTCGTTGTTCTAGTTCAGTGGGTCTTAGTTTTAGTCCAAGCTCGGAGTATTCGTTTTAGGATTACGCAAAATCTACATGCGTTTATATATCGCATTATTCAGGATGGTGATGCAACCGAGACCCAGTCACGTAATGTTTCGTTACTGTGAAGTGTGAGAAAAAAAAAACAATAAATTCGTAATTCGTAGTCGACGAAACAAGTTTGACGACCTTGTCAAAGAGCTTTCTCTGCCAATAGCAGACTAGATCACCTTGGATTCCTGAGTCTCGTGATCAGCATGTGGCATTGTCGCCGAGTTAGGTCATCGATGTAATTTTTCGCTGATGTCCTAATGCGATTTTACCTCTGAATCGTCATTGTTTCTGCCCAAGATTTCGGACAAACAGCTGCAAATATCACTTAATAAACCTAAAAAGATCGCTTGTCTTCCTAAATAATAGTAGAACATTCCACTCGCGAAAAAAATAGACATTGAAGCAAATAATAGTGTTTTGTCTCACATTACGAGTACAGCTTATATCTGTCATGTGATCTTGTGTTGCCGTTAAAGGCTTACATGTATTGAAGCAATGAACTTATTTTACTTCTTTACACTTCTATGCAGCCTGCACGTAGACGTATACTTTGATCAGTCTTCCACATTGAATCTAATAAGTATGAATCACAAGGTTAGTTTCTCATTACATATCAAACCATATTTTTTGAAGAGGAAACTGGAATCGAAAGTGAACAACGAAAGGTCGCCATTAATATGCAGAACAGCCCAAATCGAAAATCGACAGGTTATGCCATTTTAACCAGCTAATTTGCATACAACCGAGGGAGATAGAGTACTGTCTGGTCCAGTCAACGTAGATATGACATCCAAAGTTAAAAAGTGCAATGCGTGGGTGTCTTTGCACTTTTTAACTTTGGATGTAAAATACTGCCGAGCGTTCGTTAGTTGGTAAAGTGACCTGTATGGTTGATCTACCTGAGAGATGTAGACTACGAAAATTCAGCATTCAGTTAAGAATATCTCTCTCCTGATCGAAGGGAGATGAGAATTTCTTTGCGAGTGAACAGCCAAACTGAAGACCTCTTTATCAAGTTTTAAAATTTAAGTGGCAAGCGAACAGGAAGGCCGTAAGCCTCCCCAACATGATGACTGTGCACATTAAGCAAGCAATCAACTAAATCTTCACAATTTCATATTAATCCCAGAATGAAAAGAAAAGGGTGAAGCGACTTTGTAATACTGTTATTATCATCACTGGAAATAATATAAATGACTGTAACTTCTGTACTCACCAAAATAACGAAGATCATTAAAGTCAAACAGCTTTTCATCGTGGCAGTGAAGATAGCCTTGGAGCAAGATTTCTTCAACATGCAGCTTGCTGAGTGTTGAACTCTTTGTCCCATTTTGGAATGGCGATTATTTCCTTTGATGAGAATCGGACAAAACACGAGGTTACAGTGAAGTACTTCTGAGATGTTACCGGTTGAACTGAGTTCCTTCAAGTGCCGACATTCGCCTTTTATAAAACACTATATGACTATATGACAACTGGGCATGTCTCTGTAGTGAACATTGTTCCTCTTCTAACTTCTTCCGCTTTCGATCCCAAGACACTCTAACAATAAGTTACAACACAACAATATCGTTGTAGATAGTACCACTTACCTTGTAAAGTAACATCGAACTTATGCCTTGTTTTAATTTAACAGCTGATAACATAAACTAACACTGGCGTCGCTCACGCCGGGGATTCCCCATAACCATAACATTGCTTACGTCACTGAATTGTCAAGCACGTCTAGTGGAAAAACGTGAAGCAATGCAAAGAATGCATTAGTCATCAAGTCGTAGGCGGGAAATCGGTATTTT